CCCCGATAAAAAAGATAAGGTGGTTCTTCCATCACACACGTCTGCTTCACCGCAAGTGTCTGGTAAACAACCTAATAATGTGATGTGCAGATGGACCGTCTTATGGGTATGACGAACTTTTCTTTTTTGTTTCTTACACTTTTGTTTCAGCTTTGAAATTACTGTTTACTTGCCGGCTTCCGAGATTTTCGATGAGGGGATTGCCTGGATGTGTTGCTGGAATATGCGTATAAATAAATAGGCCCCTCAAAAAGTTAGAGGTGTCTCAAAATGCACGGAAATCTACAGGTATTTGAATTTGGCCAGTGATCCAACTACCTCAAAAAGTTTTTGAATTTTTTTGAGTCAAGTTGCATAATTTTTTGCTAAAGAAAGGAGATATAGAAAACGCAAGAATACAGATTGAAGGTCACTCTACCGGGGCTCTACTTGACTCGGTTTTTGGCCAAACTACCTCAAATAGCGGGTTTTGAATAAAGAAAATGGACATATGCTTCAGGAAAAAAGTTCCTGTTCTATCAATCCAAGAAAACAGATGAAGAGTCAAGTTACCAGGGTAGAATTTAGCTAATTAAAGGATGAAGGGAAAATGATGAAGTAGAAAAAATGAAGAAGGGAAGAGGAACGATGAAAGAAAGAAGTAGAAAAAGGGAACTTGCTTCAGAAAGATTCACGAGTTTTTAAAAGGAATTGATTTCTAGCAAAAAAGCGCTAAATTGTGTCTGTAAAAAAAAGGACTGCTGGGCTTAAACAGAAGCCGTGAGTTTTGATCAAAAAAGTATCGCAGATCTACTGTAAAAAAGTTGCAGTCAAAACTGCTAAGATATAAATATGGCCATGTTGTACGCTCTCCTGCGCTGTCTTTATACAGATTGTTTAAAAAACTTTGGTCAGGAATGCACCGGATTTTCGGTCTGAAGTATGAGAGCATTATTACTTTAGAATGTCAAAGTCGGCACGAATTTCTGTGTTGTTTCTGGACACTATCTAACGGTTTCGGAAGAAAATGTAAAAATTTACCATTAAGAAAGATAATGCGCAAGCATTTCGTACCTGCAAGGAATAGCCAATTCGCTTTTTCACGGAGCAGCGACCTTTAAACAGAATCGAAGATCGCCTTGACAGAAGTTGATTTTCCTCCGCAGCTGCTGATATCAAACCATCCAGATCTTTCAACACACTCTTCAGCTGACGGGGCGAAGCCTGGAATCAAGCTGTTTCTTTGAAATTTTGAAAAAATGCATGCGAAAAATTAGAATTTCAAAACA